ATACTCCTCTATCTAATCATACTCCTCTCTACCTGTCTACCTACCTTTCTACCAACCCACCTTTCTACCTACCAACCCACCCATCCGAGTAAGTTCTTAATAATCTACTTCCACGCTTACAAACCAACCTACCTACTCATCAAAGTATCAACCTACCTACCCATTGCTCACACCCTGCATGCTCACCCGTTTACCTTCGTGATTGAGCAGTAGTCACATTCTGATGCTTCTATTTTTATACATTTTAAGAGCCCAAAGCAGCACCCGGAAATTTAAAAGCAGAGAGAAATAACTCAACAAGCATATTGGTCAAATGGGACAGAGTACCAAATGGTAAACGAGATGGGAAAATCATAAGTTACAGAGTGAATTATACCCGATCAGAGCCCGATGTAATAACAATGAGCGAAGAAGTAAAGGAACCAAACCGGGAGTTTTTGTTAACAAACTTATATACGAATGTAGAGTACACAATAACAGTGTCGGCGTCAACTACTAAAGGGTATGGACCGGCCAGTGCACCTGTTGTAGTCCCTGCAGGAGACAAGAAGCGATGATTATGATGACGATGAAAAAAGAAGGTACACCTGAAACATATAACTCAGGTACTTCTTTAACCTTAGCCACATGCTTCCGGGAACACTTTGTGTAAAGTATTTCATGCTTCGACTTTTTACCTTCTTGTATATTTGTTAATTGTATTTGACTTATGACTGAGATAATTTGTATTTATTCAATTGAGTCGAAAATTTGAATTGGCTCTTACGAAGGACTAACGCTACAAACGCCAGTTTTAAAAACGCTTGACGGTGGCCAGTTCACATTATCCACTCAGAAGATAAAACCAAACTTTCTTGTCAAACCTTCCCCCAACCTCCCCAGCAATGCAGCACCGCAGTTTCTGTAGGAACTTACTCATTTTATTTCATGATTGAGATGATACATTTTTGTCGCATTTGATTACAGTTTAGGGCTTCAAGATGGAATGAGATGGGATCTAAGATCGCAACTAGCTATCAAATAGTTTGTATAGCGCAAAAATTATTGCTAATGGGGGTAAACGGTTTCGTTTCGAATGTCACCAAAGAAGTTTGGCTGTTGTACACCTAACACCTCCTCAAAGGCCTCTAATTAAGCAAATTAAAACAGAGACTCACGCAAAGTTTCTTTTTTTATAGTAATTGTGTCCAATTGTGTAAAGTTCATTGCACATAGTCATTTTATACAATAAATGGTTTGAACCCAGGAGTAACAAGTGATAGTGCAGTCTGATCGTCCGATGTTGCTGTTCTTCGGTTCTTCCTTGTTTCTCCGGTTCTTCCTTGTCTTTGGCTTTTGATAATAACTGACGTAGTGTGGTGATGGGCTTACCGGCTTACAAACGACTTATTCACCACATAAATATTACAAACCAACCGAACAGAACGACCTACCTTTACAGACGGATCAAAACCTACCTATCACGACTGACTTACGCAGCTTGAGTCAGATCGCAGCAAAACTGACCAATCAGTTTATACGAACCGAACTGACAACATTCGACTGACAACAACTTTTCATTTGACTCCCGGCTGATGATGACTTCCGCTCAGATTGTCAAAACGTCAGTCACCATTTCCGAAAAAAAAAAACTCACTCTAAGAATTACACTCACCCGGACGATCAAACTACATATCATTTTATCTGTTTCTATTGTTCGTAGTACCAGCCTTCCAGTAAACATAACGCATAATTAAGTAAGTGACTTTTTGTGATTTTTCGTGAAGCACACAATCGACGGGTCGACGATTCCTCGCGAGGGAACAGTTAACATTAATTGCCTGGTTGATTTACCGGCGAGTGAGCGCTTATCATTACGACTGATTGTTGTAGCCACCATCTAAACTTTTTGCCATTTCCCCGCTACTCCCGTTGGTTTTTTCTCCTCCAAATACACTTCTTTGAGGTGAATCAGGTTTTTCTCGATCTTACCAATCCATTATGATAACATCAACAATCAAATCGAATAATCATCACTCGATCGTTAGAAAACATGTTCTTCCTTCTCGCGGGCTGTGACAAACACTAAAGTTTACAACGCTGGCGAATGGTCCCCTGCTTGAAATTCATATTGGAATTATTAATTGCTCAGGTGATTATTATTTTTTTATGTTTTTTGGGGCTGGGGGCCTGGTGCTCCATAGACTTACAGAAGCGGATCAAGGGAAGGGGCCGGGGGTGCCGCCTCCCCTATTTTGGATAAACAAAAAATCGCAGAAGGAAAAAAAAGCCAACTCTTGTACACACAAAAAGAAAAATACCCGTCCACTCTACCCCCTCCCCCCTCGCCTTTAGCTCAAGGTCTGGATTTGTCACTTGGATATGAATCAATGGGTGATTTGGTTAGAGGTAAGAGTTTGGTTGTGTCCCGGTGTCTCCCGATGTCGCTGTAGTTGACTCCGTTGACTGCTCGACTGTTGATCCAGTGCCTTGGTCATTGAAACCTTCTTTGGACAACTGTCGATTAAACGAAAAGGTTTTAGTTAACATGAGATCAAGAAATACTATTTATAAGAACGAAGAAGTCATCTTCAGCTGATATAAGAAACCATCACTCTTTAACTTAGAGCTTGCTCAAAATTTTTAAAGAGGAGAGATCACTGGGGTTTTTATTTTTTT